TTGTGATAGTGCTTGGTATATTCTGATCTAAATAGATGCGTGTTTCTAAAGAGGAAGGGCTTTCCCAGTGCTGACCTTTCCACAGGCTCTCTGCCTGAGCCCTGGGGCCTCTGGACTCTTCACTGTTCAGCCACTGCAGCCTGCTGCCTGGAGCCTGACTGAATTTCAAAACAGACCCCTCTTCTACGGGGCATGGCAGCTGAGAGGGGCTGTGCTTTGTTTCCAAAATGCACAAGTATGCCACTATGAGTAAATGGTGGTGGAGATGCTCCCCTTCCCGTCCCTTTAGCTGATGTGACTTTTGTACTATAAAACAAGTCATATTTCTGTCTAGAGTACATATGAGCTCTGTTCTGCCAGCCCATGTTGTGTCCATTGGCATACTTAAAATAATGCTTAAAATAACTTTTACGTGCTGAATTTTAAGTGATTCAGATGCTACTGTAGTTTAAGTTGTACATGTGTGGACCTTGACAAAAATAGAAGGGGACGTGGGAGTCCCATATTACAGAGGCTTTTTACACTGATAAAGCTGTTTGATGCATCCACGAGAGCCTTTTACAAGGTATTTTAACTTTAACCACTTTGCTGCTGCAGTCTCAGCTGCCCGGCATCACTAGAATTCTTTTGGGATTTGAGTAAAACCTCAGCCCTACAGAGAAATTCAGTTCTGCACAGACCAAAAGCAAAGCACTTAATGGGTATTAGTCTAAAAGGTACTTCTGTTTTATGAGCTATATTTACACATTTAACAGGTCACTTTCTATTGCAATTTACATTTAAGTGCACTGGAAGCTTATTCCTTTGTGTGCTATTTAATTTAAGAGGATTTTCTTCTATTTCTCTTAATTTGGGGCATTGTTCTGATGGTACTAAAATTAATTCCACTAATAGTTCTGGTAATTCAGTGGATGTTACTAACTTCCATTTGTTTGGTTCCTTTCATCCAAATTCATTCCAGTCCTTTTAAAACCTTTTACTTACTATGCAAATCAGTTATGAAATATGTGAGAATGAGTTTGCCTTCCTCTGAAATGCAGCTACATCTCAAATAAAACATTCTAACAGCTTCTAATATTTGCATGAGGAAAACAAAGTGTGTTTTTTAACCCGAATATAGGAAAAGCAAGTGCCTGATATTAATTTACTGTCTTTGAAGACAAAGAATTGGCATCTAATAGGAGATGTCTGTCTACTAGTCACAGAAGGTGTGTGTGTGTGTGTACACATACATTTTATGTATATATATATCCTTTAGTTGGTATGTGTCAACTTTTGGCATCAGCACTACTGTGCTTGCAAAACCTAGGTATCTGAAAGCCTGCATCTGCCTGATTTCACAATAACAAGTATGTACATTCAGTCAGTGTTTCTGAAAATGGTTCCCAAAATACAATTGCTATTTCCAGCATTGGGACTTGCAGGATCCAGAAATACAACGGGCGTCTTACATAACTCACCTTATTGCTACTGTGAGTCAAGCAGCAAGGGGCAGATTTTTTTTTTATTTTATTTTTAGGGTGCTATAGGTGTTTTATTTGGTAACATGCTACTTGATAAAGAAATGATTAGGCTAATTGAAGGGAGAAGCTAGATAGAAATAGGTTAAAGAGGTCTTAAAGTACAGCTTATAATAATTAAATCTGGCAGTCTTTATTTAGCAGGGACAAAAATAAACATCAAGTTAGCAAACAAAAGACAATAACAGGAAACAAAGGGTGTAAATGGTTCAGTGTAAGGAAAGCAAAAGAATCAGTGATGTACCATATCATTTCTAATATCTAACTTGTAAAAGTGTGTGTGTGTGGGGGAAATGTACATGTGAACATATGGGCATACATATAAAAATACGACACATTTAACACTACATTGTCTTTTCTGGTTTATGTCACAACTATTACCAAATAAATTTTTTTGCTAGGTAGATGGATATAAATCATCTTTACCTTGGCCTGTGGGCTTGATTTAATGATAGAGAATTCCTACTTCCAATTATTTTTCTTCCTCTTCTCCCTAAAACAGTAGGAAAACAAGTTAATATTACTATCAAGTATGGTTATGCTCCCAAATTGTACATTGTTATAATCAATCTCACAGTACCTAGGCTTTCCCTGGCATCTCAGTTCTGTATGCGTATTTATTATTTGCATTACCTTAGTGCTACAAAGCCTTGTTATGGATCAGAATCAACACAAATGACATTCCCACCCTGAAGAGCTTTACAGTCAAAATAAGAAATGGGGTAAGTGAGGAAAACAGACAGGAGAGGCAGCACAATGAAATGTGACACTGTACTGTAGACACCACAGGAAAGAGAAATTTTAAGCCGTGTTTTGAAGACAAATGATCAGCAACTTTGTGGCTGTTTAGAGCATCCCTGGAAATAAAAGGCAGGTAAAAGAAAGCACAAAACAAGTTGTTTAAACATGTTACAAGTAGGCTGTGAAAACTGACATCAGGGGCTGATGGGAGCTGCAGTTAGACTTCAGCAGTGAATGGAAATGGCAGGTAAGGTGAAGACCAGCTATCAGGCCTTTCAAAGTAAAGACAACTTGGTAAGGATCGACATGATAGAGTGGGCTGAGCCAGTAGAGGGATGAAAAGAGAGAAATAATGTGGTGAAAATGACAGACTAAGAAAAATGGGCTTTGTAGCAGCATTCTCAATAGGTATGAGCAAGACAAGGTTATATTTTCCAAGGCCAAAGGAAAGGATGTTGAGGTAATTGAGATTTGAGAAGATGGGAGTTTTAGCTATATGGACAGATTTAGACACAGTCTGAACATAAAGGACTGTGGAAAGGTCTGAGTCCAAGATGATTATGTACAGGCAGATAATAGTGTAATAGATAAAGTAGAGAGTACTTGTGGGAGAAGGCACAATGCTATTTTAACTATGCTGAGCTCAAAATGGCATTAGGGTTCTCAATTAACCAGTTCTTATCCAGATGGTCCAGAGATTGGATGGAAGCTGGAGTATTTGTGTGCCGTCTGGGCCGATTATGATCCAGCCACCATATGCTACAATACAAAAGAAGAAAGAACAGGCTCAGAAACACAGAGACAGCCTAAACATCCCCGAAGTTAAATAATGTATGTTCTTGCAGAACCAACTAGCCATCAGATGAATCATCGGTCAGGTGCCTCAGAGTGGTTTTTGTCCAGTTCACATCTTATAGGCATCTGACCATGCAGGTGTAGGGCTCACGGGGCACCTGTGACTGCATTCAGGAGGTGAAATCCCACTCAGAGTTCATAAGAAGGTAATAGAGACAAAAGCACAGAGCTTAGTTAGGAAAGCACACCACTGTGCAGTAAAGAGGTGTCGCTGTGAAAAATCTGAGTGGAAATTTTTGTTTGAGTGAAATTTCAGAGAGTAATTGTGGAGAGCACTTTTCTGACTCTTCAAATCTAAGATTACTAAATGAGTGAGGCAAAAAAATATCTTTAAAGCCTTCATTATGTCAGAGAAATGCTTTAAAGTGTGATCTGAGTGAAAGTTTGAAAGACCTTTCAAATAAGAAGGATCCTCTGTGTAGACAAATAGATATATACTTACACACATATATAAATATAATCCAATACATTGATTCATGATTTCCTGTTGCAAATACCATACCAGAGTTGATCAAAGTAAGGCTTCAAAATTGCGTCAGTGAATTTTCTGGCTGGTCTTTACTGAAGGGATGAGGTCAGAAGCAAGGGTGTATCATAGAAGACAACAAACAAGACTATCTGAATGACAGAGGTAAACTAATATTTCATCTCCTTTTGCTCACCGCTTACTTCTGCTGTGTATTAATTTTAAACTCACAGTTCCATGCTCATTGTAGAAAACTATTATTTACTCAAGAAACAATTTCTTCATGAGAAGAGGATCCATCCCTTGTATGTTTTGCTTTGATTCTCTACAGTTCTTGGAATTCAAAACAGAAATTGTTGACAGCAAAGGAGATGCCTTAAAATAATGAATAAAGCTAATTTTCAAGTGATTGTCTTGTGGTTCTTTCTGAAAGGACACCTTGTCTGGTACCAACACATGGCTCACCTCAACGCGCTTATAGCTCAGAGTCAGACCTCCAGATGGTGTAGCTGTTTGTTCGTGGACAACAAAGGACTGGTAAAATGAAACCGAAGGTTTCTGAGGAAGATATGGAAAAGCAGAGACTGTGGTTGTTGGCATGGTATGGGCAGGTGCTGGTCTGCCTTCCAACAGAGGACTGGGGCGAGCGCTGCCACCGTGCCGGTGTGAGGTGGGTGCTGCTGGAGCCGCCAGGCTTGGCTAACCTGAATAACAAGCTTGTAATTGTATGAAATCATGAAGGGGCCCAAGGTGCTTCTTTTGTTTTATATTGTTTTCTTTATTTTTCTTCCTTTGCTCTGCTCTTCTGTCATGCCCAGCCCTGAGAAGGGAGAGCACTGGCTCTCCGCTGACAGGAACAAGTTAGCTCCCAGAGAAGCTAGACGTGGCTGCTTTGTAACTCACAAATATACTCTACAACATCACAAATGTTTTGTAACATCCCAAAGGCCCTTTTCCTGAGGGCAAGCAGCAGCAGACAGCAAAGCGTCCCCAAATTACCACCTTGCCCTCTGGCTGTACGCAGCCATTGGTTTGTACGGTGACAATGGGCCATTTTGTAAGGCAGGTCCAAGAATTTATTTATTTTGATCTTGCATATAGAACGTTGTTGATGTTGTTTACATCAGAAAATTTATGTAAATTTTTATTTGTTGCCAGGGCGTGTTGAGAAGGCTTGGGCGAGTGGGATATATATGGTTATTAACGTCTGTTGGTTGATCAACTTGATCCACGTTCTCGAAGACACAGGGAACGTGTTTTCCTTTCCTTTTGCTCCTTTTTCCCCCGCTGTTTTATTTAGGAATTCCCTGCTTGGAGAAAAAGCGGCGCCGCTCCCTCTCCTCTCAGCGCCTTTTCCCGCCTCTTCCCCTCAGCGCCCCCTTCCCGCCTAATCCCTCAGCGCCTCACGCGCCTACAGCTCCCGGCATGCCCCGCGGCCCCGCCAGGACTACAGCCCCCAGCAGCCCACGCGCGGGGGCCCGGCCCACTTCCGGCGGGGCGGGCCGCGCTCGGGCCCGGGACGGCGACGGCGGCGGCGGGGCCGCGGTGAGTGCGGGGCGGGCGCTGCCTCCCCTCAGCCCCCTCAGCCCCGGGCCCTTCCCCGCCCTCAGCTCGGCCCCGGGCTCTCCCCGGCTGCGCTTTGGGGCTCGGGGCTCGCCCCGGGGCCGGGTTTGGGGCCTGGGGGGGGGGCCCCGGGGTGCTCCTGAGGCAGCCGGGCCCTGGGCTGGGGGCCGCGGGCGGCTGCTGTGGGGGTGGAGCAGCGCCGCGCCCCCCTGAATCCCGGCCCTTCGCCTGTTTTGCAGATGCAGGCGGAGCTGAGGGGGTAGGAGAGGTGCTGGCTTCTCCTGCAGAAAGCCCCGGGTCTCGTGAGGCTGTGGAAGGCACCGTGGGGGAGCTCAGCGTCACGGGTGTGGATGGTAAGGGGAGCACGGAACCAGCGTTGGCTCGTTATGAAAGGCACTGAGTGAACCTGGACGTACTTAGAAGTACATAGGGTTCAACGCACAGTCGTGGTTTTGGGGCTGTGTTGTTGTTTGACGGGTGGGTAGCTCACGGTGTTGTACCTTATCGCTGTACAAACCCAGAACGGCTTTCCTGCTGGAGTTTTTAATGTTGATTTGTGGTTTACGTGGTTAAAAAGAAGCTAAGCTGTACAGTTAATGACAAAGCTGGCAAGCTCACCGAGCCTTAATACACAGAACTTTGGGGGCTGTGTGTAGCTGCCTTGTGTGGCACGAGTCACAGGAGATGAGAGAGAGAGATGCTTTCGATGAGGGGCAGGGTCTTCCCTTTCTGCACTGTCTGAGAAGCTTCTTTTGGAAGAGACAGGCTGTGGCATCGCTGAGGCTGAGCAAGTTCTAGAGCTGAGGTATTCCTGCCATGTGGAGGTACAAAGTTAACCAGTAAGAGCCAATTTAGAATGCAAGACTAGTTTTGTGAGAGCTCACTGTAAATCTTTAACGGTGTGTGCGCCCTTCTAAAGGAGGCAACATTAATTTTTATAAGAACTTGGACTGCATAACAGTAAGTTTTGTTTCACGGTCTGTTCCTTCTGACTTCCCCGTGTTATACATTACCTTTCATGTGACATTCATTCCCAAGTGTATTTGGGAAAAGAAACAAATGGCAGTGTTGTTTGGGAACAGGTGACAGAGGAAATGCTTAAGAGCAGGCAGGCAGTGAGATGCTCAAATATGTATGGGAACATGAGGATGGTTAAGACTCTGCATAGGATTTCCACATTAGAGACATTTCAAAACTGCCGTAAAGATTCGGAATAGAAAGTTCTTCTCTGTTCCAACTGCTTGATGCCAAACCTGCTGACACAAGACAAAACATAAAAAGAACTTGTTCTGTTTGTTTCCTTTCTCCAGAATGTTTTTAATAGCAACTGTTCTGGGGTTTTGCTTCCTTTCTGAAGCTTTTTAAAAAGTAGAATCAGAGGGAATACTCTGGCAGTGCTAGCAGCGTCTTCCTACCTGCTGCATTCCCATCAAGGTCCAGCTACAGCACAGGAGTGTTGTTTGAAGGCTGAAGGACTGCACGCGCTGTTGCCCTTTCATCACACGCTGAGGTAGGCACCTCTGTTTTCTGAAGCTCACTGAACCTGAGGGCTTCCGAGCAAGAGAAAACAAAAGTAAGTTTTTTTTCAAATAGAGCAGGTTACGCTTTTGTGTAAGTAGGGTGTGTGTTTTAGGCCTCTTTGCTGGGTGGTCACATGTAATGAGCAGAAGGGCCGCATGCCAGAGGCTGCTGTGTGGCTGGAACTGTTAATGCCTAACGTACAGAGGCAGCTGCGAAATACAAAAATATTGAACTTTCTGTGCCCAACAAAGTTCCTGTTGTTCAAGCCCGTTGCTTGAAAAAGAGCACACCCAAAAGTACGGTGCTGCCCCATGAATAACTTAGGCAGGCTACTCCCAGGTTTCTCCTCTTTTGGGAGTAAAGCAAAGAACTGTTTGTGGGTGTTTTCAGCAGAGTCCTTTGGTTGCTCCTGTTTGAACAGGGACAAGCTCAGAGCAGCACTTTCTCTGTGGCAGCGTGTGTAATGCTCAGGGAGGGAATACATCTTGTAGCAGAAGAGGGAACCAAGCAGAGCAGATGAAAGAGAATGACTCTGATGCATCAGTTGTGCATGTCCTCAAAGGAAAGTTGGAGGAAAGCCTGAAAAGGGGATGTCATTTTAACCATGAGTGGCATTTTTTATACTGTATATCAATGTACAACAGCTACAATTTCCTTCTCTCCCTTGGAATCATCAGTTAAATCTTTAGCAGCAGAGCTATAGTGGCCTAAGGGGGTATCTTTCAAGAAGAATGAGCAAAGAGCAGCTCAAGATTTTCTTAACAGAAAACTTTGAAGCTGTATTTGCTGTCCCATAGGCATTCCTGTCAACTGCATCAGCTTCTGACAATGTGGGAGGTATACGTTCCCTGCAGGGGATGCGAAGTAGAGAAAACAGTCTGAGTGGGTTTAGGAAGCCACGGATCAGCCTTCAGGCATAGGTGTCCTACAGATGCAATGCTGGTTCTAGAAGTAATGTGACAAGGGGGTCCTAAAACCACTCACTTCTGCCTCGCCACTGAATCTAGCTAAATGTAACAGCTGCTTTGCTGTACAAGGCTACGTGCGTAGAGGGAAAACTGCTGCCTTCTGCTTATAATCTGGTTATAACTGAGCCTCCACTTCAGAACTCAGTTATCGAAGTAAATATTAAGAAAATGTCAGGAAAAAAGATAATCATGGCAAATGAATGCTGTTACGCAGAGAACAAACACAGGAAAAGCACTGAGTGAGTTAGAGTGGGCAGAAGTAACTCCTTGTAACTCATGCTAGCAATAGACCTCTGCAAATGCTAGGGAACAGGCTTTAGCAAATAATTATAGTTGTTACAACTGAAATAGGTGCTATTTTGCCTTGTTACTATCATATAAGGCATGAGAAATATCTAGCAGATCAAAGTCCGTCAGCAGTAGGTTACTCAGTGCTCCTGATGGCACGTGTCCTGCTGTACCGTCTCTCCGTGAGAGAGCAGCTTGTGTTTCTCTGGAGGGAAAAAAAAAACTAACCAGGCCAAAAGCCCAGGATTTCACCCTGAGCTGTGTTTTCAATATACTTTGAAAGGAGGAAGCAATTGGGTTGATAATTAGGAAAAGTAATGTTGCGAACTTTTATGTGAAGTCTTGTTGAAAGTCATGTTTATTTTGAAAGTCGGATGGGAGTCAAATTCCATTTGAAGTTAAGGCACTAATGGAAACCCTCACTTGGAGACAGGAGAAATACCAAGGCAGAACAGAAGTTTTCTTTCTTCCTCCAACTAATATTCCGTACCTGGCCTGAACGTGCAAGCTACAGGATTTTGTTATGAAACACGCACACAGAAGCGCATGGAATCTAGTGGCAATGAGAGGATACTCGGGCAGACTTTTCTTGCTGTGTGCTACAGTTTGTGTAAGTGGACTGTCAGGATACTGCTTTTTGGTGGTGCGGGGTCTTCCTCCTGACGTCTTCAGAAGTGGGTGGTGGAGCGATGCCCCTGAAACAGGAATGTGCCAGCAGCTGCCACGCTTCCCATTTGTGTGCTGCATTAGCAGTCACTGGGGTGTTGTCAGCTTTTGTTCATGTGCAGCTGTTCCTGCCGAGTTCTCTGGGGACAGTGACTTGCCTCTTTAAATACGGGGCATGTTAGGGAACCAGAGAAGGCTTTTTTTGGGGAAGAAAGTGTTTCTGATCCTTTGGAAACCTAGCGCTCCACGCTGAGTTGTGCAGCTTGCTGTTGGCAGTCTAGCAGAGAACTGGCAACCTCAGGGATGCTGGAATGCATTTTTCCTGAAGCGTGGTGAGGAATTTGCTTTTAGCAAACAGGTAGCTCCAGATGTCAAGGTTTTTTCCAAGTGATACTTTGTTTTGTAGAATACAGCCTTCTTTATAATACTTTAGTGATGAATTTAATTAATTGACTTAAACTTCCTTAGAGAAGGGCAAATACTAGTTCTACACGTGCTGCATCCCCTCGAGGCTCGTACTGCTGACGTGCTTTTTGTGGTCTAGTTACAGCTTGAACTGAGAATGCTTTCAAAGAGACTTGAAAGCTCAGATGCTTTCCCCGGGCAGCGCAGATTTCGTACGTATGTGGGGGAGATCGTTTAGATGTTAGGGGAGAAGAGCCACAAGAGGCACCATCCAGCCAGAGGTCAGTGGGATTGCGAGGTCCCACCTGAGGGCAGGTACTGGCTGCAGGCTCTGTTACTGGGAGCTTGCACTCAGAAGTGTTTTGTACCCTGTCACAGCGATGGTGAAGCAGAAAGGGGAAATCTGATGATCTGGCAATCCAGGTGGACCCCAGCAATCCTCTGGGAGTGAGAGCAGGTAGAAGCTGGCACTTGATGTACAAAGGGGGCTTCTGGTGCACGTGAGATATGATCTGCGCTTGAACTCTGCTGGTAAGAAATCATAAATGTGGTTTGAAGTGGTTTAAGAGAGCCTCTTCCTCTTCCTGTGTAAGTGATGCTCACTGCTCGCAGATGGGTCAGTTTCCCTTGTGCTGTGCAGACCTTTGCTCACTGTCAGTCACCTAACAGCAGGGAGTTAGTTCTGCTGGCCACAGGTATGTACGTGTAAATATGACGTCTGGGCTGGCCTGCCTCTAGGTATGCTTCTGATGTCCGTGCTGTATGACCTGTAACTAAAAGCACAGATTTTAACATCTAACGATGCCTAAATATGATGAGTGACGTCATTATATTAAAAAAAAAAAAGTTCTGCTTGTAAATAAAACCCACATTGGTATCTTCCACTGTTGCAGGAAGCTTGTTTGCATTTTTTCCATGAAAAAGATATAAACAAGTATTTCTATGGTGTGGGTCTGCTGTTTTTTTACCTTTGTATCTGTTTTGGTACTGGAATGCTCTGCCTTGCCTTGCTTACTCTTTTGTAGCTTTGTTAAGCTTTGTAGACTTCTGCTGCTCTATTCTTGTTTCCAGTGTTGAGCATAGCTCCTTTGTGCTATATGTAACCAGTTAAATGTGCCTTTCTTCTCACATGCTTAAGATGAAATGTTTATTTCTTCCCTTCATGGTTATCATAACTTTGCTACTGTCTTAAAAATTCTTGGAGTTCTGCTCTATTCTGTGTGTTATTTCTGAAAATTTCTGAAGGTACTGCATTATCCGGTCTGTGCAGTGGTGGTGCTGACAGATGTGTTTTGTTTTAAGGATACTGCCTTTTTTTAATGTTTCTAATTTTATTATGGGAAACACAAGACACTATATTCTTCCCAGCTCTGTAGCTTGTAGTTTTATTTGGTACAGCAATATGAGCATACCTTGGTATAAATCTGTTTCTTCATTATTTGCATCTTCTGTTTAAGTGAGGATGCAAGCAGCGTTTTCTGTCTACTCTAACTTACACTTACCTCAAACACAGGAAAAAAAAAGTTTATTAATCTATTTTTTCTCCTCTTTGAAATGATTCCTGATTTGGTAAGAAAATGACTTGTTTTATCTGGACTAGCAGATGCAAATCTTAAATGAATAAACCAGTGGCCTGATTGCTTGCAAGTGTCATGATAATGTGTCGCGTTAAAGGGGTGTAGCTGATTAACCGTTACGGGCCCGGTTGGATTCAGAGTACTGAACCAGTCGGACATTCACCAAAACTGGGGGTCCGTTCGGACATTCACCAAAAACGTAATAACCACCTGGGGGTCCGCTCAGACATTCACCAAAAACGTATTAACCACCTGGGGGTCCGTTCAGACATTCACCAACAATGCATTAACCGTCTGGGGGGTCTGCTTAGATTCAGAACACTGAACTATCACGGATAACCACCCTCACCCTAGTTGCATTAATGAGAGCTATCACAATGCAATCAAGTATGGTTTATTACAGCAACAGATAATCAGGTTCTTTTGGATTGCCGGTGATAGTGACTATCTGCAAAAGCAAGCTAGTATGCATGAAATACACAGGTGTTACAGGGGTTCTAGGTGCGGGTTCTAGGTGCGGGTTCTAGGTGCGGGTTCTAGGTGCGGGTTCTAGGTGCGGGTTCTAGGTGCGGGTTCTAGGTGTGGGTTCTAGGTGTGGGTTCTAGGTGTGGGTTCTAGGTGCGGGTTCTAGGTGTTCTAGGTGTTCTAGGTGTTCTAGGTGTTCTAGGTGTTCTAGGTGTTCTAGGTGTTCTAGGTGTTCTAGGTGTTCTAGGTGTTCTAGGTGTTCTAGGTGTTCTAGGTGCGCAGCCTAGAAATAAACGCGTTAAAAGGATCAAAGACTCTATAGAGATTTATAAGCAAATATTCAGATCTCACCCAAAGGCGTCCCAATGGGGGGGGAAGAGAGGCTCAGCCCGTCGACTGATCCCAGGAGTCAGGAGGTCCTAAGGATGTTGTATGTCCTCGGGATGGTATCTCCCCTGACGATGGTATCTTCCCTAACATCCCCTCTCTCTTGGGCCAATTTATATTATTTTCTATCTTTTAGGTGGAGCTTGAGTGGCTCTAGTCAAGCATATCTTAGTTATGATCGGTGTAAAGTTTTCCCATTTCCGTTTAAAGTAATAGGCTCCGAGAAATTCAGA